GTGAGGAATGAATTCATGCCAAGCCAAGGAGAGTTCAGAGGCAGAGTTTCCAGAAAGCAGGAACAAAACTGCTTGAGAGCACAGAGAGGTCAGGTAAACAAAATGTTGGCTTTAGCAATGCACCACAGTGGGTTCTTTAAAGATAAAATTTTTAGAAACATAGTGGGACCAAATTCTACTTGTAAGGTGTAAGAAAGCAGTTGGCACTAAGAAATTGGATCTAGTGAAACTTGGATATGTTTTATTTTGTTTTTAAGAGTTTATTTAAAATTACAGTTGGCATTCAATATTGTATGAGTTTCATACTACATAGTGGTTAGACATTTGTATAACTTAACAAGTGAAACACCCAATAGGTCTAGTACCCACCTGGCAATCTGCATAATCATCACAATATCATTGAGTACATTCCCTAGGCTGTACATTACATGCCTGTGACAGTTTTATAACTGCCAATTTGTCCTCCTTAATGCCTTCCCCATTTTCATTCAGCCACTATCCTTCCTCCCACCTGGCAACCAGAACCTGGGTTACTTCTAAACCAAGAAATCCATTCTGAAACAAAGCTTATGTGTTTGACGAAAATGTATGGTGTTTTCAAAATAAAGTTCTTACCTGTTGTTTCTCCTCAGTGTAGGTTTGAGTGTTTTCTGTCACTGCTCTATCTTTCACTAGATGGTAGGGCTTTTATTCACCTGTCTGATGTCATGTGACAGTCCGGAATTCCTGAAGACCCATTAATTAGAAGTGAAGTACTTAGAGTAATGTGAAACTGAAAGCACTGAGTACAAAACATTGATTCAACAACCATCAAAGGAATTTCTGAAAGCCATAGAAATGGAAGGGTACTTGAATTTCACAAAATTTCAGTTCAGTGTGACAAAAGATCTCCTCCTGGTGGGTGTGGTCAACAAGATGTGGCTCCATCTTCCCTCTTCCATACAGGGTAAGGTGTGTCACTGGAAGAGGCAGGCCACCAGTATTTCTCATGGCCTCCAGCACTGACTTGCAGAGACTAAATTCTTGGAGGCTGGGGCTCCCAACCTGCACCCACCCCCACTCATAGAGTGAAGGCTCCAGCTGGTGCATAGGTGGGAGGAAGGATGGGGGCTGAGATTGCCTGGCCTGCTCACCCTCCCTCTGGCTCACTTGTAGGAAGGAGTTTCCAACCTGGGAGAGGCAAGTGGAGAAGACCACAGGCTACCACCCCTGTCCAGGGAGGAGCAGTGGCTCAGTGATATTTGTCCAGGGCGAGAGGCAGTGCATCATCACAGAGATCTCTGAAGTTCTTCCCTAAAGAACTTGTCTTATTTGAAACAGTGTGGGGACTTGAAGAAACTTTATAGCAAATCAACTTTAGAAAAAACACAAAAGAAGGTTTTCAAGCAGGAAGCAAGTGACTTCAGAAGGTATTGCAAATCCACATAGAAAAACAAAGAGCAGCAGTAAGAGAATTGGGTTTTTATAAAAGACAGTATAAATACAGATTTCCTCTCTTTTCTCCTCTTAACTGGTTTAAGAAGCAATTGTATATAACAATATGTATATAATTGTATTGCAGGGCCTATTTCATACTTTAAAGTAATATATTTAGCAAAGCAAATAAAGAAGGTCAGTGGTTGCACAGCCTATTGAAATAAGGAGATGACATGTGATGTTAACATGAACTCATAGGAATACAGAGAAACAGAGATTGTAAGAAAGAAAGTTACTATAACAAGCCCTATACATTTATTCTTCCTCCTTCAGCCTTTCTAAAAATGGAAAACCATACAAATTAATAACTATCAAAATGTATTGTTGGGTTGTTACATATCTACACTAATAAAAGAGAAAAATGCAAATTGACCATACCCCCGAATCCTTCCCATTGGCTAACCCCCAAACGCTTCCCATTGGCTAATCAGCAGGATATGCAAATTAACTGCCAACCAAGATGGCGGCCGGCAGCCAGGCAGCTGAAGCGAACAGGAGGCTTGCTTGCTCCAGTGACGGAGGCAGCCAATG